TTATAAAGCAGAATTTTAAAAAACAAACCACCAAATATTTGTTTCATCTCTGGAAAGAAATACAACAAAATACAAGAATGTTGTTTTCCTGGTTCACAGGATTTTAAATGATTTGGATTTCCCCCTCATTAAAGCATTCTATGTTTTCTAAATGTTCCACAATGAACGTATTTCTTTGTAAATAGTTATGCAAATAATAAAACGATGACAGGATAGAAATATACGCAAACTATTAAAAAGATATAGTGAAAGAACACGTAAGTTTTCTTCCTGTTTCCATTTCACTCTGACAATACATGTGTACCCTGAAGCCTGGGAAGAAATATGGATACTTTAAAACATGTAAAATTAAAGGAGGTGGAAGAAACCACCAGTAATTACCATCGTGCAACCTCCCATAGCCTATCTTCTTCCTAGACCACTTATCAAATCCCCACAGGAAATCTGCTCTTTTTTCCAACAGATTATGCTTCGATTAGCTGAAATACCTTTCCTCTAATCCAGTGGTTCTCAACCTTCTGGCCCTTTAAATACAGTTCCGCATGTTGTGACCCAACCATAAAATTATTTTCGTTGCTACTTCATAACTGTAATGTTGCTACTGTTATGAATCGTAATGTAAGTATCTGATATGCAGGATGGTCTTACTCGACCCCTGTGAAAGGGTCGTTCGACCGCCAAAGGGGTCGAGACCCACAGGTTGAGAACCGCTGCTCTAATCATTCAAAGTCAGGAGCCTGCCTACCTAGCTTAACTGAACACAGGTTAGGAGTGAATGGAGAATTTGAAGGTAAGGGGTTCAGTAGGTATCTACACCTAGAAGAGGATCTTAATTAATCCAGGAATGCAAAAGACACAGGCAGAAATGACAATCAGGATCGGAAATGAATGAGGCTGGAAGGCAGGAGGACCATATGGAGGCGTCATGATGACAGACAAGAAATGGCCCAGAGAAAGCAGTGGCGGATGGGAAGGTACTGAGGGTGAGCCTTACAGGGCGGGGAAGGCAGGACGCCTGGGCAGCCACTTCTGTTGTGCTCCTGTCACGTCTGGTATAGTCTGATCACAAGCACTGAATACAAGCAGAATGGACAAGATGTCCCTTGCAGGCCCTTTCCAGGACCAAGAGACTGTGACTCCAGCCTCGCACAAAGGTGAAGAGGATCACCATTGTAAGCCTGCTCTAGGAAATGATGGCAGCAGCTCTGTCCTTTTATAGCTCATAGCAAATTGTATGTGACCCAATTATTAAATAGGCATTTTGTACTACTAACATCTCGAATTTCATTTAAAACTACCAAAACTCGCCCTGACCAGTTTGGCTCAGTGGGTAGAGTGTCGGCCTGTGGACTGAAGGGTCCCGGGTTCGATTCCGGTCAGGGGCATGTACCTTGGTTGCGGGCACATCCCCAATGGGGAGTGTGCAGGAGGCAGCTGATTGATGGTTCTCTCTCATAGATGTTTCTAACTGTCTATCCCTCTCCCCTCCTCTCTGTAAAAAATCAATAAAATATATATTTTTTTAAAAAACTACCGCCCTAACTGGTTTGGCTCAGTGGATAGAGCGTCGGCCTGCGGACTGAAAGGTCCCAGGTTCGATTCCAGTCAAGGGCATGTACCTTGGTGGCAGGCACATCCCCAGTAGGAGGTGTGCAGGAGGCAGCTGATTGATGTTTCTCTCTCATCGATGTTTCTAACTCTCTATCTCTCTCCCTTCCTCTCTGTAAAAAAATGAATAAAATATATTTTAAAAAAAAAACAACTACCAAAACTCTATTCAAATTAAAAGCAAGCTGCAATAATCCTGGTTAGAGCATTGTCAGGAGACGCCAAGGTCGCAGGTTTGATCGAGTCAGGGCTCATATAAGAAACAACCAATGAAGACATAAATAAGTGGAACAACAAATCTCTCTCTCTCAGGGAAAAAAAAAAAAGCTGCTTGACCAGAATCGAACCCAAAACCCTTCAGTCGGAGGGCCAATGCCCTAACCATTGAGCGACTGTCCAGGGCTTGTCTGTGAAGCTCTTTATCTGACCTTCAATTCTAAATGGTAGCTTTGCTGAGTAGAGTAATCTTGGTTGTAGGTCCTTGCTTTTCATCACTTTGAATATTTCTTACCACTACTGTTTGGCCTGCAAAGTTTCTGTTAGAAATCAGCTACCAGTCATATGGGCTCTCCCTTGTAGGTAACCTGCTTTTCTCTTGCTGCTTTTAAGATTCTCTCTTTGTCTGTAACCTTTGGCATTTTAATTATTATGTCTTGGCATGGGCCTTGTTTGGGACTCTCTGCACTTCCTGGACTTGTAAGTCTATTTCTTTCACCAGGTGGGGAAGTTTTCTGTCATTTTCTCAAATAGGTTTTCAATTTCTTGCTCCCTCCTTTCTCCTTACAGTACCCCCATGATGGGAATGTTGGGATGCTTGAAGTTGTCCCAAAGGCTCCTTACACTATCTTCATATTGTTGGATTCTTTTTCCTTTTTGCTGTTCTGATTGGGTGTTTTTTGCTTCCTCATATTCCAAATTGCTGATTTGATTCTGTGTCCTCTACTCTACTGCTGATTCCCTGTAAGTTATTCTTCACTTCAATTAGTGTATGCTTCATTTCTGACTGATCCTTTTTTATGTCATTGATGTTCTAAGTTCCGTGAGGTTCTCATTGAATTCCTTGAAGTTATCATTAAGTTCCTTGAAAATCCTTATAACCATTGTTTTAGTTCTTTTTCTGGAGATTTCTTCTGTTCTTTCACTTGGGACATGTTTGTTTCCACATTTTGGCTGCTTCCCTCTGTTTCTATGTATTAGGTAGAGCTGCTATGTCCCCTGGAATTGGTAGAGTGGCCTGTGTAAGGCCCAGTGGCTCAGCCTCCCCAGTCACCTGAGCTGGTCACTCTAGATGCACCTCTGTTTGTGTGCAACTGTCCTCTTATAGTTGAGTCCTGTTTGCTCTTGGCATCACTGGGAGGGATTTACCTCCAGGCCAATAGGCTGTGAGGACCAGCTGCGACTACAGCAAAAGGGCTGCTGTGCAGGAGACACCCTGATGGAGGACTTGCTTCAGTGGGGCTTTGGTGCTCAGAGTCCGCCCCTTGAGAGTATCGCTCTCTCGGATGTGGTAGGGCTGTAATCTGGCGTGGTCTGAAGCTGACCACCAGGTGTCCTAGCTCTGGGGACTCCATGAGGTAAAAGTCAGCTACTGCCTGTGCCTTGCCTTGGGCTACCCAGCATAAGCTACAGAGTGATCTGCAGATGGCTGCTACTTGTGTTGGGCTTGGAGGCACCCAGGAGAGGCCAAGCTGTGAACCTTGGCAGTCTGCTGCTAGTGCCAAGCCTGGGGGCACTTATTAAGAGGTATGGGGCACACTGAGGCTAGCTGCTGCTTGTTTGAGAGATTTCAGGAAAGTCTGAAGCCTGAGCTAGGACTGGCCCTTCATATGGAAAAGCTACTGCAAACAGATTAGGTGGAGCTGTAAACTGGGTGGGGCAGGGTCTCAGGGAATCACAAGGGCAGGGCGAACAGTGTGGGCCAAGTTAATGGAGACTCATATGGCTCCTGTTGGCTCTATGGTGGGGAGGTCTCAGCAAAGGAATAATGACTTCTCCCAGCAATTTTGTCTGGGAGAAAACTGCCCCCCAGTTCCTGTACTGATGCCAGACAATTTAGTTCCTCCCTGTACATACCTGGACCCTTTCAAGCTGCTGCTCCAGTGCTGGAGCTCAGAGGGAGTGGATCTGAATAAGTCCACGTATGGGCCCTTTAAGAGGAACTGTCTGCGAATTTTACTAGTAGCATCTCTTCGTGTCACTCAGCTACAATTCCCACTGGTTAAGTTATGGGGACTTCTCTTCCCAGCACTGGAACCCTGAACTGAGGGGTCTGGTGTGTGTGGGGCGGGGAAGAGGGGGGTGCGGGGGGTGGGGGAGTTTGCCTTGAATCCTTTGCTCCTCATGGGGGCCTCTGCAGCCAAGATATCCTTCCCAATTAAAACCACCACACAGAGGTGTCAAACCAGCCTGTTCCGCCCCTCCGCCCCTCCTACCAGTCCCATTGTGGCTGCTTCTTCAATTCTTAGTTGTAAGGCTTCCATTTCAACCATCTGAATGATGGTTTTTCTGTAATTTAGTTGTAAATTCTGATGTGGTTATATGAGGAGGTAAGTACTATGTTTATCTACTCCACCATCTTTTCCTTTCAAGAGTGGTTTTCTTTTTTCTTTTTTTAATATATTTTTATTGATTTTAAAGGGGAAGGGAGAGAGAGAGGGAGAGATGGAAACATCAATGATGAGAGAATCTTTGATCAGCTGCCTCCTGCACGCCCCCCTGGGGATTGAGCCCACAACCCTGGCATGTGCCCTTGACCGAAATCAAACCCAGGACCCCTCAGTCCGCAGGCCAACGCTCTATCCACTGAGCCAAACCAGCCAGGGCAAGTGGTTTTCTTTTTTAAACCAACACTTTAGGTAACTTTCTACACATCAAGTCATAATCCTAGTCTGTAAAATACTAGCACTGAATATAATGATGTGTGTCATTAGTCTTTACTGAGTGATATCACCTGTCTAGGAAAACTACCTCCATCTTGGACGCTGCTGCCATAATGCAAAGCATGGCCATTTGGGCTCATTAAGTCATTCATTCAATCTCCCATATTACAATACAAGTCTGACGTTGGGTTACAGGCGATTTCAAAAGAACACAATTTTGGAGATGAACTTAAGCCTTCGACATCCTCCAGTGTTGAGTAAGCACTGGGCCTGCTTTACAACATTGACCGCAACACATGCTTCCTTCCTGGAGTTAATCTCATCAGGTGAGCTCTAGGCAGAGAACAGGGCCAAAACCATACGCAGCCAACAGGGCTCCTGGAGACTGGCTCACGTGAAAAGCATTTGGTTTTCAAGTGCCTTAGCCTTCACTGAAAACATGAGTATTAAAGCTAATCCTATGTTGATTCAATACAGAAACTACTTTAGAGTGATCCAAGAAGAAAGGAAGACGGGGAATGCTGTTACCGGGAGGGTGAAGAAAGTGGGGTGCTTCGCTTCGTCTTCATATTTGCCTTCCGTTGAACTCCCAGCCTCCATGGACTTGGATGTAGTGTTTTTACCAATGCCCATCATTAAGAGAAAGTGGCTGGTTTGGTTGTTGGGCTGCACTGGCTTGTTCAAGCAGCGATCCCAGGATCGGAGTTGGCTTTTCTGGCGCCTAGAGCACCTGATTCTCAGGCAGAGATGAACCCCACAAGCACCATCTCTTAGCACCTAGAAAAGAGAGAGCAGCCAAATCACCACAAGCACAGAAACAACACAAGACACATGGTCATCGCATTTTTCTTCGGAAAAGTCCAAGTACAAGTTATGCCCAAACATCCAAAAACATATTACTTACTACACTTTTCAAGTCCCCACTCCTCTGCATTTACAGTCATTCACTGATTCTCAATATCCCCTGGAGAGGAGATCATATCTCATAAAAAAATATCAGAATACTAGGGATTAAGAAATAGGTATTTCTTTGACGTGCATTATGGTCTATGTTTTATAGCCCAGTATTATCCAACAGAACCTTTTGCAATGATGGAAATGTTCTACAGCCGCCTTGTCACTTTCCATAAGAGATGTGACTAGTGTAAAAGAAAAACTGAATTTTTAATTGTATCTCATTTTAGTTTTGATTTAAATAGCCACTTCTGGCTAATGGCAATCATACTACATAGTGCAGTTATAGCCAATTTATTATGATTGCCTGGATATTAAAATTCTAAATTCCCTATAGGTGCCCAATTAAATGCATTAAAAAAGGTGGGGGATAAAACCAATCTAGGATGGAGTGACCACGCAGAATTCCAGATAAGTGGAAAGACGAACTTTAAATGGGCTAGAATACCACACAAAAAAATAGAACCAAAACATTCAGTATCTATTAAATAACAACATAAACATAAAGAAGAAGCCAAAACCGGTTTGGCTCAGTGGATAGAGCGTCGGCCGGCGGACTGAAGGGTCCCAGGTTCGATTCCGGTCAAGGGCATGTGCGTTGGTTGTGGGCACATCCCCAGTAGGAGATGTGCAGGAGGCAGCTTATCGATGTTTCTCTCTCATCGATGTTTCTAACTCTCTGTCTCTCTCCCTTCCTCTCTGTAAAAAATCAATAAAATATATATTTAAAAAAAAAAAAACATAAAGAAGAAATCCAACTGCCTCCCCCCAAAATGGAGGGGAGGTAAAATAGTGAGAGATTAGGGGACGGGGGGAGGAGGTAGGAGATCAACACTACTGGGGCCCAAGATGGACCTGATGTGCTCTAAGAACCTCAGAGAAGCTGACACTTAACAAGGAAAAGTGCAATGCTGCAGGCTAAGAGAAAACCTAGCCGAAAGTCAACAGCAGGAAAGTACTGAAAGAATCCTATGCAGCCAAGTTTTGGTGAAGAAGAAAATAAAAACCTCAATTTCAAACAACAGGAGTATAATTTGGACAATAAAGATCCACCCAATGGCTTCAAAAATAAAAGACACAAAGGATCCCTCCCCCTTCGAGGGCTGGCACATGTAAAATAAAACATGCCTAGGTATGCCTACATTTTAATGGGGGAAAGGAGCACAAGCAGGCTTCTAGGTGAGAAGGGACAGACAGCACATTCACCGGCACTCTGATTAGAATGATGTCAGGTCTTAGCACCAATTAATTTCCCGCTGAGAATGAATAAACCTGGCCAAGCTGTCCAGCAAATGTGGAGACGCACCTATAAGACGTTTAGAAATACAAGTAGGAAACCTCCTGTTCAAGGGATTCTGTTAAGGGCACTTTTCATTCAACAGATACTTTGGGTGAGCCAGGAAATTTTGAAATATAAACAAAAAAGAGAAAGATTTATACAGAATTCAAGAGTTAAAATAGTTGCCAGAACATTAAGTTCTGCCCCAATGCAATAGAGGAGCTGGGTGCACACATCTTTTTTTTTTTTTTCTGAGGTGGCTCTTTTGGTTTAAATGTTCATGCACATTTTGCATTCTTGTTCATATCATGTTTGTTTAAAGCAGTGGCTCTCAACCAAGGGTCATTTCTCCCTCCAGGGACATTTGGCAATAGCGAGACATTTTTTTGGTCATCACACCTGGGGAAGAATGATTTATATCTAACAGGTAGTGGCCAGGGGTGTTGCTAAACATCCTACAGTGCACAGGAAAAAGCCCATAATAAAGAATTATCTGGCCGAACCGGTTTGGCTCAGTGGATAGAGCGTCGGCCTGCGGACTCAAGGGTCCCAGGTTGATTCCGGTCAAGGGCATGTACCTTGGTTTCGGGCACATCCCCACTGGGGGGCATGCAGGAGGCAGCTGATCGATCTCTCTCATCGATGTTTCTAACTCTCTATCCCTCTCCCTTCTTCTCTGTAAAAAATCAATAAAATATATTAAAAAAAAAAAAAAAAGAATTATCTGGCCCAAACATCAACCAAGACAAGCAACCCTGGTTTTCAGATATTTCCCTCCTGGCCATTCCTGTAATGGCTGCTTCCTGGAAGGCACGCCGTCACGTGGAACCTCTTAGCCTAAGCATTCAGAGCTCCAAGAAGGAAGTGTTTTAAGTGTCAGATAGAATTATACACGGATCATTTATTTGAAACCTTCAGTGCTCAAGATCTAGCCACCTCAAGGTACCAACATCATGACCTCAGTTTCTATACTATTGTTCTTAGTCCTCAGTTCACTGCGTTTGGTGCTGTCTGTTGTTGAAGTAGAAGCCGGAGATGCAATCGCTCATTAGGTCTGGTTGTCAGCCTTACAGGCGTTTGTGCCTGTTTGGAGGCACATGCACAAAAGGAAATGGACAGGTGTGACACTGAAGGGCCTCCTGAATTAAACTTGCCCTAAAAGCATTTGTGCTATTGAGGTTAAAAACTGAGCTGTTGGTGTCTGAAAGTTCCCAAGAAACAGTAACTAGGGTACTGAAACATTCGTAGTTGTTTCCCTATAAATGGGAATAAACTGATATGTATTACATGAAGTTTTTTTTTTTTCACAACAGATAATGCACTGAATATGTAGAATATAATTTATATCTGCTAGTTAGAAAGAGGGTCAAAGAAATTTACATAAATAATATTTCATAGCATCAAAATTCACAAAGCACATGAAATTGGAAGAAGGAAGCTCCTGCCCAGAACCCTAGGAGGTCACCACTGTTCAGTTGTAGTCACTTGCCTTCTACATCGGTGAGGAATCTTTTCTCCATATTTCTATTAGATTTTTGTTTTGTTATCCCCAAAGTTAATACTGTACTTAGATATGAAATACAGCCCATCAAAACTTTAATTTATTTGAGGAAGAGGGGGAAGGTTTTAAAAAATAAGTTCAATGTACCTAATATTGAAATGGAGAAAAGATTTAATGAAAGAGCAGGTTTTTGTGGATGACCTGCTGCTCTCCCATAATGCTGGAATTATCGGAATAAACGCTCATATGATTTAAAAATAATAATAATAAGATTTAAAATACTGTAATATAAAAAAAATACTTTGTGTTGACACTGAAATGGAGAAGAGGTTTAATGTTTTAAAAAGCCCTATTAACTGAGTAACACCCCCACGGAGAGAAATACTATATTAAATATAAACCTATTATGTTGTATATATGTATTTTTTAAAAGGTACTTCCCTCTTCCCAAAAATGGCATCCCAAACGTGCCATGTGGGTCCTTAGCACAAGATCACCAAGATCACGTCCCCCAAGGGAGAAACGTGCCAGTTTGAGAATCAGGGACATGCCTATCACCAAATAGAGCAAAGCCCATAATAGAACAAGTCTATGGGACTTGCTGTGGCTTAGTGACTTTTTAAATAACTTTCCTTTTTCAAGAACAGGGACAAGTGGATTATTATATTTCTTCTTCATCTTTTCTGCTATTTGTAGGGGATATGAAGACCCACTTATGCACTTTCCAAAGCATAAAAGTGGGGACTTGCTATATTCAAAGGGGAAGTTGCAAACATCACTTAGAAAACCCTAAAGGCTCTCTCTACTGGTAGCCCTGACAGAGATTGTGTGTGTTTACTTAGAATTAATCTTTTTCCTACATTTTTAATTAAAGTGTTCTGCAACAATTCAAAAAATAATAAACAATCTACATCTTGATCTAGCCACTGCCACCCATAACGTCCCCAGATCTGGCGGGGGGGTAAGAGGGGTGGAGATACAACATGACAATGAACATTCCTAAGAAGATCTGCCTGAAGTAGTCCCAGGGATCTTTACCTTGACAGCCAGCAGCTTGTTTTCCAAAAGATATGACAGGCAAAGAAGATGGTGAAATACTGCTAGATTTTCACAAGACCACATGCCATACAGTCATATTCAGAGACACCCACAAGCTCTTTGCTCCACAGTCCCGCCCCATCGTCTTTAGCCTGCCAGAAGAGCTTTCCAACCCATGAGGACCCATGTTAACTTCAGGGGAAATGATGAACTTTTTTTATAAAACTGATTTGAGAGAGGAAGGGAAAGAGAGAAACATCAACCTGTTGTTCCACTTATTTATGCATTCACTGGTTGTGTCTTATATGTGCCCTGACCGGGAATCAAACCCGCAACCTTGGTGTATCGGAACGACACTCTAACCAACTGAGCTACCTGGCCAGGGCAAAAGGATGGAGTTTTTAATGTAGAATACATTTACTCTCCCAGGTTAATTTGGTCTGCATGTTTGTTTCAGACATGGCCATTCACCCTCCACACTGTCCCCAGCATCAGGCACAAAGGGGACAAGTTCCATCCTGACAAGAACACTTTCCACCAAGTAGTCTGTACATTTTTCCCTACCAGGCGTTTAACTGACTCTACAAGCTGTACTGGGAGGACCCACCCCCTCCTTTTGCCTGTCTCTTACACAGCAACATCCTTTAGAGCAGTGGTTCTCAACCTTCCTAATGCCGCGACCCTTTAATACAGTTCCTCATGTTGTGGTGACCCCCAACCATAAAATTATTTTCGTTGCTACTTCATAACTGGAATTTTGCTGTTATGAATCGTAATGTAAATATCTGATATGCAGGATGTATTTTCATTGTTACAAATTGAACATAATTAAAGCATAGTGATTAATCACAAAAACAATATGTAATTATTTATGTGTTTTCCGATGGTCTTAGGCAACCCCTGTGAAAGGGTCGTTTGACCCCCAAAGGGGTCGCGACCCACAGGTTGAGAACCGTTGCTTTAGAGTGTCCTGAAAACTCAAATGAGCACAAGAGGGGAGGGGAC